TTCACACAGCTAATGTCAAGTGTTTGTGGCCAGATTTGAACTCAGGTCCTCTTGACTCGAGGGCTGGTGCTCTATCCACTGTACCACCTAACTGCCCCTAAAAACACAATTCTGACAAGATTCATACATAGGCAGTATACCAAACAGGTCCAGAACCCACAAAAAAAGGTTTAAAATTCCTGGACTAGATGTCCCTGAGAGCCCTTCCAGCATTTATTAAGCTCCTATTAAGTGCCAGGCCCAAGAGATGCAAAGACCAAAGAAACAAGGTCCCTGTTATGCATGCAGAAGGCTGTACACACAGCCAGACTTGGCTTATGCCTTAGTCAATTTCACTCATCTGCTTTGAGCACTGGGTCTAGTGTCAGGAAGACCTGAGTTCAAATTTGACTTCAAATAGTTGCTAGTTGTGTGATACTGGCAAAGTCACTTAATTTCTGTCTACCTCATCTGTAAAATGGGAATAATAGCATCTGCCTTGCGGAGTTATTGTGAGGATCAAATGAGATAATATTTATAAAATATGCTTAGCATAGTGCCTGGCACATAGTAGGAGATATATAAATGCCTATTCCCTTCCCTCTTCTTCCCCCATCCTCCTTTTTGATTCTTATAACAAGGGATGGCCTTCTGGGTAGGGGAGGGAAAGTGTGTATTTGGAAATGAAAGTGATATAAAAACAAACTATATGATTAAAAAAAATTTTTAAGTCCCTGCCCTCAAGGAGTTTACATTCCATTCCAAGAATTCAGTGGGGATAATAATAGCCCCTGGCTTTATGGCATTTTTTTGTGAGGATCAACTGGGGTAATATTTATAAAATGCTAAACAAATGGTAGCTACTGATGTCATTACATTTCCAGGTGGAAAGATCATAGAGATTATGAGGTCCAAGCCCTTTATTTTACCGGCAGTAAAGCTGAGGTCACATAGCTATCAGACATCAGGGCAAGTCATTGCTTTACTGAGGAGCATCCCAGAGGAATCCTCTCCATGATCTTTGTCCAACAAGACCCTGCAGCCCTCCTTGAGACCTACAGGTGAAGCTGGAATGTCTGAGTCCAAAATCATGGAACTGTCCGCTCTGCTTGTCTATCCTAACTGTCCTCTTTTACGCAGGCTTCTGCAAACTACAGCCCCAGGGCCAGATCTACCCATTGGCTGTCTGGGGGTGGCCTAGTGACTGAGACGGGTTTTTACAGTTTAAAATAAAGTTGTCTTGTATTTGAAACTGTAAAACCCATTCTTAGCATCCAGTTGGAGAGAAATCAGTGTCTGATTTAACCTAGGGCCTAACACAGTACCCAGCACATAGTAGGTGCTTAGCAAATGCTAATCAATTGACTGACTGGTAGTTTGCCTCTACCTTATGTGATGGGTGTGTCGCTCATGCCCTACTTAGCTTTATCTCTGAGCTTCCAGACTCCCGCTCCAGTCCTCAGTTGCCTCAGCCCCTGGGGCCTCCTCACCCTGAGTCATCTCTCCAACCTGGCAGCCCCCTTCTCCCGGTAGTGAGTCCCTCATTTAGGTCAATGGCACCACCATCTTTCCAGTCTCTAAACTGTGCAACCTTACAGTCAGCCCTGCCTTTACATCACCCCTATTCACCCTGATGTCATCTTGATTCAATCGTTGCCGAGTCTCTGATTTTACTTCCCCAACATTATTTTCATCCCCCTGCCTCTCAACTCACACAGCCTCTGCCCTAGTTCACACCCTCATTCCCTCTCCTCTGATCTGGTTCAACTGATCCTCTTCCCTGGAGGGAGCCATTTCCCTCCCTAATCTATTCTCCAAATAGATGCCAAATTGGTATTCCTAAAAAAATTTGATTCTGTAACACGCCGCCACCTTCCCACTCCCTAATCTGCAGCAGTAGCTAGCTGCCTATGGCCTCCACAGACTCCACCAGTGTCTGGCCTTCTCCTTCTCTTTCCAGCCATAGCTTCCCTTCCTATCCTCTCCGTTCTGGTCCAGCTGGTTCATGTGCTGTTTTTTTTTTTTCTTCATCACACTCCTCCTACCTTATGCCTTGGCAAGGTGGTCCCTGTATCCAGAATATGCTCCCACCTCCCCTCTGCCTTAGAGAACCCTCAGTGTCTTTCCCATCTCAGACACTTCCTTAGCCTGTGTGACAGTCATTACCTTCCCTGGGCCTCACTTTCTCCTCTATAAAATGAAGGCATTAGCCTAGCTAGAGGACCTCCAAGGTGCCTTTCAGCTCCTATAAAGCAGCTCGCGTGCCCTCTCTTGCACAGGCCCTGTGCTACCTTGTCCACATTTTGTATCTCCTTACTTGTGTGAGTGGGAAGGAAGAAAGCTCCCTGGGGGCAGGAATTGTTTCCTTTCTGTCTTTGTGGCACTAGTACCTGACACACTGTAGATACATTGGACACATCTGTTGAATTGGATCGAACTGAGACAATTCCAGCTCGCTCTTGGCATCCAAGATTCTTGTTGCGCTCAATAAGAAGTCGACACCTCCCCGTTCTCTACACCCAAGGCTCACACAGGGCTTGTCGCACAATCCTGCCACTGTAGGAAGGGTGTATATCCCCATTCTAGAGGGAGAACATTGAGGTTCATCCACGGGAGGTGATTTGCTCATGACTACATAGAAAGTAAATGTCGAAAACTTGGTTTGGAAAGAAAGAAAGAAAGAAAGAAAGAAAACTTGGTTTGAACCCAGTTCCTTGATTCTGCTGTCCAAACTGCACTGCCTCTCCATAAAGGGGCATTTGAATACTTCTGGGCATCTGGGGTCACTGAATCACAAACTCTCCACTCTTCGAAGACCTCAGAGGCCAGACGTCCAACCTCCATGCAAAGCAGGAATGCCTGATACAGCATCTCGGACCATCAGTCATGCAGCTTCTTGCCTGAAGCCCCACCCCCCATCAAAGGGAACCTCAGGGGACCAGTGTCACCCCTTGTACTCCCATCACTCCGTCTCTAAATAGCCAAGCTGGACAGAAATGTTTGTGGCAGTCTTTAAGAAGCCTGTATATACCACAGGAATCACCTCTTTGAGGACTGTCTAGGTGTGGTGGCAACATCTGAATATGTAACTGATAGGTGGTGGGGTGCGGAAAGAGGTTACTGATCAGCCATCCTCCCCCAAAGTTAGTAAGACATATCAAGCTTGGAAGGGCCCCCGCGTGAGACCTACACAGAAATTTCTCTGCCCACCTTCTAATCCATCTTGCTTCCTTTCATCTCTAAAATGTCCAAATGTCCAGAGATTCCACTTGCTAGGCACACAGGGGATCAAGGCTAGAAAGACCTTGATAGAATATAAGCTCCCTGAGGGCAGGCACAATTTTATTTACTTATTTACTTATTCGTTTGCTCATTCATTATTTATTTATTTAATTAATTTATTTATTTATGTTATTGTCTTGATATGTCCAGTGCCTCGCACATAGAAGGTGCTTTTTTTTCAATTAAAAAAATTTTTGTTTAAGGTTTTGAGTTCCAAATTCTATCCCTCTCTCTTTCCACTCCCCCCTCCCTGAGAAGGCAAGCAATCAGGTATAGGTTATACATGTGCAATTATGAAAAACATTTCCATATTAGTCATTTTGTATGAGAAGACTTGAATAAAGGGGGAAAAAAATGAAAGAAAGTGAAAAAATAGCCTGCATCAGTCTGTATTCAAACAATTATCAGTTCTTTCTCCGGGGTAGCCTGTTTCATCATGAGATCTTTAGGACTGTCTTGGATCATTGTATTGCTGACAAGAGCTAAGTTGTTCACAGTTCTTCATCGAACAAAGTGACTGTTACTGTGTATGTTCTATTCACTTCACTGTGCATCAGTTCATGTAAGTTTTTCCAGGTTTTTCTGAAATCATCTGGTTTGTCATTTCTTATAGCACAATAATATTCCGTTACAATCCTATACCACAGCATGTCCAGCTATTCCCCATTTGATTTCCAATTCTAGATAGGCTTGACAGTGGCTTGTACTGGGGTAGGGCCGGGGGGGAGGGGGGCGCCTACCTGGATGCACAGATTGCTCACTTGCTTAGACCTTTCTGGTGCATTGTCCCAGCTTTGGAGCCTTGCTGCAGGCCCCCTGCTGTGTGGCTGGCTGGCTGCTACTGCAGCTGCTGCACCTTGCTTCCCTCCCACCCCCATGAGATAGACCTTTCCTGTTGGTCTAGTAAGCTGCTTCCCTGCTCCTACGTCAGTTCTGAGGAGGTTTTCTATTTGTTTGCCCAGATACTAGCAAAGAAATGTACTAAGGGAGTGGGAGGGGGAGAAAATTTTAAACTCAAAATTTTATGGAAGTGAACATTGAAAACTAAAAATAAATTAATTAATTATCAAGGAAAAATTTTTTTAAAAGAACAAAAAATTAAGAAAAAAGAAATGTGGAAAGAAACTAAAAAAATAGATTAAAAAAAGAAAAGAAAAAACTAACAAACAAAAAGAAATGGACTAAGGAAAGGCTGAGCTGGGGTGCAAGAATGTTCTGGGATATTATATTACTGTGCCAAAATGAATGGTGATTGAAAAATACAGAGAAACGTGGGAAGATTTGTTTGAACTGATCTAAAGAGTGTAAGCAGATTGAAAAAATGATAACTCTTGAGGGGAGAAAAAACAACAACAACAAAAAGTTGAAACTGAGTACGAATGCTATAGAATTAGAATGCCAAATGACCCACCTTGGCCCAGGAGAAGGTATAGGAAAATATGGCTGTTTTCCTTATTTGCCTGGTGGGGGTTATGGTTGTGTTTCCTTGCATATACCATCAGGCTCAGGTGATGTATCTATTCTGAACTGCTTTCTTCCCCTCTTCTTTATTTTCTATTCTTTGTTATAAGGGATGACTCTCTGGGTAGGCGAAGATGAGAATGTATTTGTAAGGGGAGGAATTGCGAAAAACAGAAGATTCCAATAATTTTTTTGGTAAGTGTAAAGAATCTGGTCAGGTGGGGAGGAGCTAGTTCTCAGGAACATGAGCAGAGTGCTCCTGTGACTGACAGACTCACCTGTGCTTGCAGTCTTGGACAGGCTGCCCCTGGGGGCCAACCATAGGCAGCTGGCTCTAGGAATGCTGGAGTGAGTGATTCCTTATCATCGATGAACCTTTGGATTGACTTCAAAAGAGCCTCACTTCTCTGAGGCTTCGGTGGTTCTCTCTTGCCTCTGGAGTAAGGTTCAAACTTCTCTCTGCCTGGTATTCAAGGACAGTCCCAAAATGGCCTCTCCCTAATTTCATATGACTCACTCCCTTCTACCCACTCTGTTGTGCTCCAGCCAAACTGTTGCTCCCTGAAGTGAGCTCACAAGTGAGCCGTTGCTCACTACTCATCTGTGTGCCTGGAATGATCGCTCTTTACCCAAGTCAGTAAACATGTATTAGGCCTCTACTACATACCAGGCACTGTGCTAAGCAGCTATGGATACAAGAAGAGGAAAAAGACAAGTCCTTGCTCTCAAGGGGCTTACAATCTAACACGGGAGACAAGCAAACAAATATATACCCACAAGCACAAGAGAAATAGGAGCAAAGAGAGGGAAGGCACTAGAATTAAGAGGGATTGGGAAACAGAGCATAATATGTGCTCCCCATCTTCATCCACTGAACCCAATTCCAGAAAGGCCAATGGGCTTCCACCAGGCCAGTGCAGGTCAGCATGGCCAGCATGCCCAACACAGCACTTTGTCAACATGGTCATGATGTCATAGCACCCATTATAACCATTGGTCTGTGTGTTTCTTTCCCTGTGAGCTGCATGAAGCCTGGAAATGTGCCTTTCTTAAACTTTACTGTCCCCACAGACCTGGCATAAGCACAGTGGCTTGCACACAATAGGTCCACAATACAAATTTGTTGCACAAACAAACAATAAATGAATGTTCTCTCTCCCCCTCTTCTTAGGTGCTAGAAAAAACCCATACGTTCACCCAGCAGCCCCACAGAAACAGCTCACCTAAAGGAGCTTGAGGAAAGAGCTTGTGGAAAAAGATTTGAAGTCAGACTAGCTGGGTGTCCCTTCCTCTCTCTGGGCCTCTAAAATTGGATGGGGGTGGGGTGGACTAAGTGATCTCTGAAGTCTCCTCTGGCTTTAAATCTATGGTCCATTTTTATCCACACAGCCCTACCCAATCAGAGACTCATCAGACCTGGAAGGGACCCGAGAGCTCTGATTTGGGGAGCCTGAGGCCCTGACAGAGAAGGAAAAGACTTGTCCAAGGTCACGCAGCCAAGTTACTGTCTGACTCAAGCTTCTTCTCTCCCATTCAGCCAGGCACCAATGCCCCCCACAAGTCCATAGGGGCTTTCCTTTTGGGGAGTTCCTGACCTAGCATTGATTTCAAGCTTATTGATGTTTTTAAGCTGTTACCGACCCCTTGATTACATCAGACACAGTAGGTGAGTCACACATTCCCCCAAAAAAGGGCTGAGAAGGAACTAGAGGCTCTGATGCTCACCATTTGCCAGATGGTAAGCAGTTTACTAACTTCAGTTGCTTAGAATAAACAGTCAATTAATGAGCATCCAAAAAGAGGCGAAAGGATGTTATGAACTAAAAAGAAATTATTTAAAAAAAAAGAAATAAAAAAGGATATGATTTTTCTCAAGAGGAGAGAAAAGCATAATGTTTGCTCAAAAATTGTACCTGCAGCCCCACAGGCTCCCATTCTTGACAGGAGACTGAAGCTCAGGATTTGGTAGCTGGTATCCACATGAATTAGCAGCAGGTAACTCAGTGGATGTAATGCTGAGCCTGGAGTCAGGAAGAGCTGACTTCAAATCCGCCTTCACTCACTAGCTGTGTAACCCCGTCACACTAATCACTCACCCTCTGCCTGCCTCAGTTTCCTCAGCTGTAAGTAGATATAATAATATCACCTGCCTTCCAGGATACGGGGGAAGATCAAAGGAGATGTTTGTAAAGTGCTTAGTACAGTATCTGGCACACAGTAGGTGCTCAATAAATGCTCGTTCCCTTCCCTTCTGCTATCCACAAAGCACGGCTCCATTACACATAGTAATACTATGACAATGATAACCAGTGCCAAAATGACACTTCCCCTCTTAGGGCCTAAGTCTCCTTATCCATAAAATGAAGGAGTTGGGAATTTGAAATACACCCCGAAACCCCAGCCAAGTTTTATGTGGTCAAGCTCCACGGCTTCATAAGCAGTCCTGATCCTCTCTGTATAGGAAACATTTAAAAAAAATAAGAGCAGTGGGGGTGGGGAAACATGGGTCTGCCCTGCGCTTGGTAGTCAACGGTGAACACGGAAATCCATGACCAAGGTTTTTTTTTTTTAAATGAGGGCACTGGACTAGATGTCAGTAAATATTATTAAGTGCCTGCTATGCAGCAGACACTGGGCTAGGTGCTGATGGTCTCAAAGGCCCCCTTTGACTAAACCCATGATCATAAGAGCACATTATACAGATTAGGTGGGTGGGATAGTGGTTAGAGCCCTGGGCTGGAGTCAGGAAGACCTGAGCTCAACTCTTGTCTCAAATATGACTGTCAGTATGACTCTGGGCAAGTTAATCTTGGGGGTCCCCTTTTCTGTAAAATGAGGATAATAATAGCACTTCCATGATTGTTGTGAGGACCAAATTAGATATTTCTAAGGCTCTTTGTGAACCTGAAAACACTATATAAATATTAGTCTGTGAAGCTCCTGGAGAGCAAGGGTCTGTCTTTCGCCTTTCTTTAGATCCTCAGGGCTCAGTACAGTGCATGGCATATAGCAGGCACTTAATAAATGCTTGCAGACTATGTGGGAAGAACCACAGGTGTTATCACACTCATTTTACAGATGAGGAAACTAAGGACCAGAGAGGGAATTGATTCACCCAGCATCACATGCTGGTAAGCATTAGAGTCAGACTATGACTCCATTGATTCTTGACTTCATAGAAACAAAGGACCACAGATTTGGGGCTGGAAGGAACTTCAGATGTTCTCTGGTCCATATCTTCATGTTAGAATTTAAGAGATAAGCCCAGAGAAAGGAAGTAACTCTTCCAAGGTCATATAGTCAGGGTGTGGGCAGTGAAATCAGGTCCTGGCTCTGAATACAGGTTCTTTTCAAGCAAATTAAAAGTATGTGTATTTGTGTATGTGTGTATGGGTGTGTGGGGGGGCATATGTATAGTATATATACACATGTGTATATATGTGTGAATGTATATGTTAATATTTATGTGTATTCTTCTATATTGTTCACAATTCATTATATATTCATATATCTATTATATATATATGAATAATCATATACTACATAAACATACATGTGTATTTATATACAGATGTATAAATATATACACACATGTACACACACACTTTCTGTATACACATATCTCTGGGTTTTGATTTCCTAACATTCACATATGTGTATGTATTCAAAAATTGACAAAAGGAGGAAGAAAGGAAGGAATTTGGGAGAAAAAGAGAGGGGAGAAGAGCAAGAGATAGATAGATGATAGAAATAGATATAGAGGAAAGATAGAAGATGGATTGCTACAGATAAATGATAGCTGGAGAGATAGAGATAGATAAAGAGATGACAGATCATAGATAGATGGTAGATAAATTCTATATATATGGAGAGAGAGAGAAAGAGAGATGGATGGATGGATGGATGGATGGATGGATGATGATGGATGGATGGATGGATGGATAGATGGATGGATGGATGGATGGATGGATGGATGGATAGATGGATGGATGGATGGATGGATGGATGGATGGATGGATGGATGGATGGATGGATGGATGGATGGATGGATGGATGAGGCAGCCTGCCTCAACCTTCCTAACTTCCTAATAATATAAATGAATAACATGAATAGGGGAGGGGAAGTCTTGGTGCCATGCATGGGGCTGGTGTTAGTGTATAACTACATGGGCTCCTATAAGGTCTCCCTTTTGACTGCCAAACCCCAAGACTTCTTACTAAATAAACTGAAGTGTTCATGATTAAAGTTACTTCCTGAGGTTGTCAACGCCTAACTAGTCTAGCCACCCTGGATATTTCATTTGGGATGAGTAAGTTCCTTTAAATTCCCATCATCAACCTGGCAACTATACTTGCCAAAGTACCTAATTTCAAAGTGCTTGAATCTACAGTCTTCCTGGGGATAGGTACAACCCGGCCGGGGACCCTGCTAACCCATTAGCTCCGGGAAGGCTCAGTGAATCTACAGAAAAGGTCAAAACCTTGGGGGCGATGGGTTGAATCACACAAACGGTTAGCTCCCTGGCCCTCCCCATATTAATATCTTGCCTCCTGCTCTAGTCCTGACCTCTGGAGCTGAGCTTCCCATGTTTCTCTCACCCCCCTGGATTTGGGTGCTTCCGAGAGTCCCTCACACCAACCTGGCCTGGTTTCTTTCCTGCTTGGATCCGGATTCTGGCCCTTCCCTTCCTTCCCTGGGAGGCAATGGGCTTCTCCTCATCCTCAGTGCTTGCCACAATCCCAGACCCTGCCTGGTTCGGGGCCAAGCCTCTTTCTTTTTCATAACTGAATGCCCCTTTTGTATAATGATCCTTTCTTCAAAGGGAAGTCTCTCAAAGATTGAAAGACAGCTATTGTGTCTGCCTTTAAACTACTCTTTCCAAGCTAAAACAACCTGGTCCAGCCTCTGATGTCCCTTCCTTTGCATGTTTAAAATTCTGTTGGTTACTCCCATCAATACACACCCCCCACCATGCTGGCCCCTCTTATGTGGCTATACAATCATGATAATTAATAATAGTGAACATTTTAGGTAGCACTTGAGGGCTTAAAGAGCCCTTTACAAATATCTCATTTAAAATAACAAGAGCTGCATTTGAAAGTTTATAACTATGCTGTCGTCTGAGCCGCCAAACACTCTTGGGTTGGAGGTGCTGCTCTTATCCCCATTTTATAGATGAGGACACTGAGGCGCTGAGAGAAGTGACTATGATTTCACTTGCATTGTCCCTACAGGTTAGCAGCCTTCTTAGCAACTGACCGTCTGGGAGAGTCCCCCCCCCCCCAGCCACACCACTCCTCTGCCCCGCAGAGAAGCGAGAGGACCTTGCTCAGAGTCAGGATGTTCCAGAGCCAACACTCTCTCCACTCCACTAGGAAGCTGGGGGCAGGGGGGAGGGGTGATCAATCAGTCGGCACTTAATGAACATCGACTACATGGCAGGTATTGTGCTAAGCACTGCGGATACAAAAAGAGGCAAAAGATAGCCCCTGCCCTCAAGGAGCTTGCAGTCTACTCTATTAGAGCAGAATGGATAAAATGCTGGACTTGGAATTCAAATCCTTACCTCAAGTGCTTCTAATTATGTGACTCTTCGAAAGTCAGGTCCTGTCTCTGGGCCTTGGTTTCCTCAATTACTATCTCCCTGGGTGGTTACAAGGACCGAATCAAATAATATCTGTGAAGTGTTTTGCAAATCTTAAAGCAGAACATAAATGCTACCTGTTATTATTAATAATAATAATAATCACTACTACTATTAGTATTAATAATAATCACCCCCACCCCCACCACTACCACTACTGCTAGCACTTCATTGTGCTGCCTCTCTTTGCCAATGCCCCTTTCAAACTGACCAGCTCGGGCAGGCTCTTCGTACAGGGCAGATGGCCCCCAGCACGTCTTTATGACCACCTTTTACCAGCACAATATTAAATGGCTAGCTGCAGAGATTCCAAGGTACCTTCCCTGGCAAGTTGTTTACAGCTTAGTAATGTGCTTATTCTCCCTCACATATAATGGGGGGGTGGGCACGATTCCATCTGCCCATCCCCAGCCTTCTCTACAGTCTGTTACCTAGCAACAGAATATTCTATTGGTCAACATCCTTCTAGCCACGTGATGGTTTGCCAACGGAGGCCAAAGTGATAGATGTTCTTAACCTTGCTCTCCTCCCAGCCCCCACCCTCTACCTATGAGCCTGTGACTCCCTTCAAGGCTCTGGTCCTATAAAAAGGCTCTGATTTTAAGATCCACCAGTTCTAAGTGTTTCGCTGCAATGGAAAGCACTTTATTTCTACAAAATCTCCAGGTTGGAAAGATCTCAGAAGCCATTTGCCTCAACCTCTATCTATCCAACTATCCAACATAGGAATCGCCTGTGCCTGTATATATTATTGTGTCCCTGCTTCTTCCTTTCCCCTCCCCCCAGCCACCCCCTGCCAGAATGCAGGTTCCTTGAGAGCAGGGACTGATTTGTTTTTAAGACCAGTGCCTGGCATACAGTGAATGCTTAGTAAGTGACTGTGGAATTAAAGTTGGCAGGTCCCAGAATCCTGCTGCCAAGGAAAGGAGGGAAAGATCAGGGAAACTAGTAGAGTGAATCCTTAGCGGGAGATGGGAAGTGGGGGAGGGGAGGATGGAGAAGGAGGACTGCTCAGACACTTTTCACTCTGGCCGTGAAGCTCCCAAGCCATTTTGAAGGGTCATAACTCAGAGCTGTGAGGGACATCCAGTCCCATATTTCCATTTTATGGAGGAACTGGGGACCCAGACAAGGAAAATGACTTGAACAAGGTCACCAAATAAATCAGCAGTGGTGGCTCATAGATGTGGCCATCTTTCACTTCACTCCCCTCCCATCTCCCAGCACTGCCTGGACTCCGGCACCAGAGACCAGGCCCTGAAGGACCAGATGCTTTTAGCTCCTGGGGCCCCAGGTTCTGATTGCTGGGAACCTCCATCCCAACAGCAAGGCTGCTCCCACCCAAGTGTCATTCAATTCCACCCTAGTCAAATCAGCATTGTGCTGATGTTGGGAAGGGCATGGCAAATGTACTGCCCTAATGCTCCAGTCAGTGTCTCTCAAACTTGCCAACAAACTATCCCTGTCTGGCCACCGCTCCTACTCGTATCTTCATTGTCTCCTTCTGTTAGAATTTAGGTTCCTTGAAGTCAGTCAGTCAGTCAATGATCATTGATTAAATGCTCGCTATGTGCCAGGCACTGTGTTAAATGTTGGGAATACAAAGAAAGGCTAAAGCAGGGTCCCTGCCCTCAAGGAGCTCACATTCTAATGGAGACAACAGGCCAACGACTGCGTATGAACAAGATATTTTCAGGCTAAATGAGAGGTCATCTCAGAGGCAAAATACTAGCACGACTCCTCTTCATGACCCCATTTGGGGTTTTCTTGGTAAAGATATTGCAGTGGTTTGCCATTTTTCTCCAGTTCATTTTACAGAAGAGGAAACTGAGGCAAACAGAGTGAAGTGACTTTCCCAAGATCACACAGCTAGTAAGTGTCTGAGGCTCAATTTGAACTCAGGAAGATGAGCCTTCCTGACTCCAGGCCAGGTGCTCTAGCCACGGAGCCACCTAGCTGCCTCTTGGCTTCCTAGAGAAGGTAGGATTTGAGCTGAGTCTCAAAGGGAGTGGGAGAAGCCAAGAGTTAAGATGAGGAGGAGAAAGAGCATGAAAACTTGGCATTTTACATTTGATCCTATATTCGAACCACTGGGATTGACTGAGTGAGGGGTGTGTGTATGACATGGTAAGACCTGGGCTTTGGGAAAATCACTTTGGCATTGAGTGGAGGCTGGATTGAAGTGGGGAGACTGAGGCAGGCTATTACCATAGTCCCGGAATAATGTGATGAGGGTCTGCACCTGGGTGGGGGCAGTGTCAGAGGAGGGATGTTGTGAAGGTAGAAAGGGCTACATGGAAGGAGTGGACTATGACCCCAGGTCTAGGAGTCTGGGTGATCCAGAGGTTCTCACTTCCCTCCACAACAATAGGGCAGCTGGGAAGAGAGGGAGGATTTAGAAGGTGAGATGATGAGTAAGCTCAGTTTTGGACATGGTGATATTGGACATTCAGGTGGAGATGTCTTACAGGCAGTTGGTGATTGGAGAGTGAGGGCAGAAGAATGGTTAGGATTAGTAGATATGACTCATTCACACAGAAATGATCAGTGAGCGCAGTTCACCAAGTGAGATAGTACAGAGCAGGGAAGAGAAGAGGATCCAGGAGAAACCTTTGGATTTGGACAGCCAGGGCTCTGGACTTGGGGGTCTCTCCTCCCATTCCCTCAATAATGTGGCACAAGGTCCCAGTGGTGGAAGCTCTTCCTTAGGCAGCTATAGCCAATACCTTAATTCCACAAACAGTGCTGAAGCATTTCCTGTGCGTCATGTGGGGCACTAGGCTATCGATTAGGGGACAAAGCCAAAATCCGAATCCCTTCTGTCTGCTCAGCTATTGGGAGACAGCATGGACATAGATATGCAAAGACAAAACACTAAGAATTTTGAGGAGGGTGACCACAGACCTAGAGGGTGGAGGCCAGGATGGGGAGAAAGACTGAAACCGTGACAGATGAGAAATGGCTGAAGGAAATGGGGACCTGGGAAGAGAAGGTTTGGGGCAGGCTGGAAGGGGGATGGATAATAATCAATATTAACATTCTCTAAGTACCTGAAAGGCTGTCACGTGAAGGAGAGTAGAACCAGCATCGCAGGAAGAAGGGTGAAAGGTACAGGAAGGCAGAAATTGGCTCAATCTACAGAAGAACTTTCTGACAAATTAGACCTATCTGTTGTGGTCTGAGAGATTGAGACCCCTCGAAGACTAGAGTACATGATGGGTCATCTGGAATGAATTCACAGACTCAAGCATTCTTTAAGTCAAGTTGGCAAAAAGTTTATTGTTATGCTTTTCAGCGGGCAAGGATTCTTAAGGATCCTGCAACCTTAGAGTGGTATACAGTTAAAGTTTATTATATAGGATAAAGTACAATAAAACATGTGCCAAATATGCTAACTAGGTGATTCAGGGTGGGATTAGGGAGTGGTTAAGGAGTGGTCAGTTCTTAAAAGAACATGCACTTCTTGTACCTACTGTGCAGACATTTTACCAAGAGTTCACTAGGAAAAGCCCACAAGGGGGGCCACATGGAGGTGTGGTTTTAGGCCTGCTACATCACTAAGTCAACCAGAGTTCAGGGACAACTGAGAGTTGTCCAGTCTGCCACCAATCAATGTATTGTTTGACAAGATAGATGCAGGGAGTATGCATATGTCTTAACTCTAGAATACAGTTAATGAGGAGCCCAGGATGTAGATAATGAGGTAGGGTGGTAGTATAGATAGTCCAGTGGGTAAGAATGTCTTTATGACCCAGTGCAAAGCCAGTTCAAACTAATAACTCCTTCAGGTGCTATTTGTAACTGCACCAGGGAAAGAGATAAGGGTCTTGCTGGGGCCCACTCATGAGTAATTTGCTAAGCACAGTGTCCTTGGGCTGGGGAGAAACTGTCAGGGACAGTGTTTCTGAGGCTAGGGAGAAATTGGGGTCTAAGCACAAGCACTGAAACACAAGCACCCCAGCACCCCATCATAACCAGAAATGGAATGGGTTGCTCCAAGAGGTAGCGAGTTCCCCATCAATGGAGGAGTTCAAGCAGAAGTTGGATAAACACTAGTCACAAATGACGTTGAGGAGATTTCAGGACTGTTTAGGAGAATTAGACAACTTCTATCAGTTCTCTCAGCTCTAAATTACATTTGCAATTCTTCATCTTTTCTTGTCTTTCATCAACTTAAAATTCTTTTTTAAGTCAAGACTCTTTTCCTTACAAAAACATCTTTTCCCTTAGAAACATTTCCTTTCACTAGAGCCTTGAGATGACCTTTCCTTGAGTAGGATGTTAGCTCCTAGAGGGAAGGACCATTTTGATTTTGTCTTTGTACACTTAGTACCAAGAATAGGAGCTGGTGCTTAGTACCCTTTAATCAGGTCTGTTGAACTGAACAACAAAATCCAATTTTAGAACCCAACTTGTGTATACCCCTCATTTTATAAACTAAGGAACTGCAGCCCAGAGAGGGGCAGTAATCTGTCTAAGGTCACACAGTAAGCTTGTATTGGAGTCCTGACTGGGTTCTCACCCCCCAGGGCTTTCCTTAGAGGGAATACCCCTCCCCCCCTCCACTTCAGTGAGAGATCCTGTGTTGGACGTCAAGCCTGGACACACCTAGGTCGAAAGCCTACCTCTGACACTTAGTTCTACTGGATAGGTGCTGGACCTGGAGTCCCGAAGATCTAAGTTCAAATCCGGCCTCAAACACTTACAGCTGCATGACCATGGGTGAATCCCTCTCAGCCTCTGTTTCCCCATCTGTAAAATGGGGTGCAGAGTCCTTGCACTTCTCATGTTGGAAGGAGACGAGGAGAGTAACCCTCAAATCACCACTGTACCAGCTCGAGTTGGCATTATTATAACAGCTCCAGGCACCACCTCCCCACTGGGCCCTGGATGGAACCTCTCCTTTCCTCTCTCTCCAGGTTTGGCAGTGAAGGCTGTTGACAGGTAGTGCTAAATCTCAGGCAGCCTCTAATCTGGGATTACCCTCCCTTCACCCTTTCTAACAGCAGAGGATTTCAGCCCTGTGGGCGATTGGTCTCAGCTCCTTCATAAAGAGCAGGATGAACTTTCAGTTGCCCAGAAATAAATAAATAAATAAATATGAAGTGCAGTCTACCCAGAGGAGATAGTTCTCAACACAATGACTGGTGTCTGGCATCTGAGGACCCTGGGTTCAAATCCTGCTCCTTAAATAAGTGTGCAAACTTGAGCAAATTCCTTTCCATCTCCAGGCCTCAGTTTCCTGTATTGTAAAATAAAGACTTGAAGGCCTCTTCCAGCACTAAATCATATGCTAATAATAACAGGGTCATAGATTCCCATTGGAAAGGACCCTTAAAGGCCATGGAGTCCAACCCTTTCATCTTCAGAACAAGATACTGAGCACTGTTTAGGAT